ACTCAAAACATCATTGACTGTGCATTCATGTGCCAGGGGGTTACCCACGTTATCATGTTTAAATCTCCTTTGGACCCATGAGGGAGGAACCATTATTATCCTATTGCACAGACGAGGAAACTGAGATCTGGAGAGGAGAATTAACCGCCCCGACAGCACGTGGCTAGTAAACGACGGAAAGATCTAACCCACATCTGCCTCGGAGTCGGATGGCCTGAGATTCAAATTCTGATCCTGCTCCTTCCTGGATGTGTGATTTTGGTCACAGCCCCAAATGCATCTGTAAAATGGGCCCGGTGTTAGGGGAGTTATTTTACAGATGGGAGGGGGAGGGGAAGCTCAAAGGAGACTCCCGCACTACGAGCCTCTGACGCCCCCTGCTGGCCAAAGGAGGACACTGGCAAGACCGTTTTTTGGATAATGAGGTTCCTGGGTGAGGAGAAAAAAAAACACTGGTCCCTCAGCAGGGCCACTGTTCTCCCTCCTCCCTTCCCTCGTCAGCATCCCCCCTTTATTTTAAAATAATCTTTTACAATGTTAACAGCTCCCTAAAAGCATCCCTCCTTTAAGGTGTTGAAGAGAGAGAGATGGGAAAATTGAGAATGCATTCTAAATCTTGCAAATAACTGGTGAAGACTGCTTCCCTTCATGGACCTTACAGAGCCAGCCAAGTCCTTGACTACAAATAGTCAGCGATGGGTATAACGAGCTAGTTGCAAGGCTGGGCATCAAAGTGCTGGGAATAACAAGAAAATCTGGAACAGATTTGGACGTCCATCATGGGAATATTGACCAGTTTAGCAGTGGTACATCCAAACAATGCTGTCTGGGGCAGCTGAAAAATAACCTTGTAGAACAGCTGACATGAAAATATAGTCAGGGGAGGGTATAGCTCAGTGGTAGCATGTATTCTTAGCATGCACAAGGTCCTGGGTTCAATTCCCAGTACTTCCAAATAAGTAAGTAAATAAATAAATAAATAAGCAAACAAACCTAGTTACCTCTCCCTGCCAAAAAAAAAGAAAAAGAAAATATAGTCAAATAACAAGTATGAAACTTACAGACATTATGTTGAGAGAAAGGAGCCAGACACACACACACACACGCTGTTGGATATTTATATTTATATAAATTTCAAGAACAGGCAGACCTAATCTATCATGAAAGATGTCAGAATAGACTACTTCTGGGAAGGTTTTTGACTGAGAAGAGGGCATAGGAACCTTCTTGGGCCCTGGAAATGCTCTATCTCTTAATCTGAGCAGTGGTTACAAAAGTCTATATGTAAAACTTCATTGAGCTGTACACTTAACATGCACTTTACGTATGTTTATGCCTCACTAAGACAGTTTTTTTAAGATATTTAAGCAGAAAAAAAGGAAAGTACTAAACAGTATGATCTTATTCTTTAAAAGAAAATAAAAGGACAAATACAATTTAACATACGGCAGTAGTCCTCATCTCATACTTTTTTGTCTCAGGACCCCTTTTCAGCCTTACTAAATTATTGAGGATCACACAGAGCTTTAGCTTTTTGGAATATATTGATACTATGTTTATTAAAACTGAGACATGTTGGAAACACAATAAACAATTCTCTTAGCTGTCAGAGCAATAATGTTAGCACACATCACATGGCCTCTGGAGAACTTCACTGTCCACTCTGAGAGAGTGAAAATGGCAAATAACATCTTAGTATTATTGCGAAAGTAATTTGACCTTGGGGACTCCCTGAAAGAGTCTCAGAAAACCCAGTGGTTCCTGGACCTCACTTAAAAACCACTGGCACAGGAGGAAAAATGACAGGAAAAAACTCACTACATGATAAATTGTTCTCTCCCAGTGCTGAAATTATAATTTATTTTTATTTGGTTCTTTGCGTATTCCTGTTTTAAAAAATAGAAAATAAAGTGACCACGGATTGTTCTGGCAAACAAAAAATGAGACAGTACACCTGACTCCATAAGATTGTTGAAAGGCCCAAATAGTAATAACATATTTGGCCATAGGGAAAAATTAAAACGAAAAGACCTCCTGAATATAAGACATGACATCATAAAACTCCTGGAAGAGAATATAGGCAAAACATTCTCTGACATAAATTGTAACAATATTTTCTTAGATCAGTCTCCCAAGGCAAAAGAAATAAAACCAGAATTTTAAAATGGGACCTAATCAAACTTAAAAGCTTATGCACAGCAAAAGAAACCATAAACAAAATAAAAAGATAACCTAGAGAATGGAAGAAAATGTAACTGACAAAGGGTTCATTTCCAAAATATACTAACAGCTCATACAATTCAATAGCAAAAAACAACCCAGTCAAAAAGTAGGCAGAAGCCCAAAATAGACATTTCTCCAAGGAAGACATACAGATGGCCAACAGGCACATGAAAAGATGCTTAACATCGCTAATTTTTAGAGAAATACAAATCAAAACTACAATGAATGGAACCAACCTAAATGTCCATTGACAGATGACTGGATAAAGAAGTTGTGGTGTATTTATACAATGGAATACTACTCTGACATAAAAAAGAATAAAATAATGCCATTTGCAGCAACATGGATGGACCTGGAGAATGTCATTCTAAGTGAAGTAAGCCAGAAAGAGAAAGAAAAATACCATATAATATCACTCATGTGTGGAATCTTTAAAAAAAGGGGTGGGGGAAGGACACTATGAACTCATCTACAAAACAGAAACAGATTGGCTGACCTAGTAAACAGTCTTATGGTTACCGGGGAAAGGGGGTGGGAGGGGATAAATTTGGGAGTTTGAGATTTACAAATGTTAGCCACTATATATAAAAATAGATTTTTAAAAA